CCCCCCCCAAAAAAAAAGAATACGTACATAGGGCACATAAGTCATTTATGAACCATGGAATAGAATCTCCTTAGAAAAATAAATTTTCATTTTCATTAAATAAAAGGCTTAAAAATTCTCTATTTTTAATCTTAAAATGTTTTAAATTCACCTAGTTGACAAATGGCATTTAATTTGTTTCCCACACCTCTATCTGTCGACGTGTATGTGATGCCAACTCTCATTGGTCATAGACTCATAGGCCTCTTGCAATTGTAAGCATATTTCTCCACTTTTTTTTTTTTTTTTTTTTTACAAGAGAAAATTGAGCTAATATTTCTTTTGCAGATATCCGATTCAAAGATTTATCAAATCCCCATTTCATGTTGATTTTCTTGAACTCTTTATGGTTATATTTAAAAGAGTTAAATTCGAACACTCAACCTATTTTAATTCTAACCCACTTACTCATTGGTCCCTCATCACTCGAAGTATATTTACTCGAACTTTGAAAATGAAAAAGAGAGTTTGTCCGCTTGAAGGAAAAAGATTGATGACTTCTTTCTTTTTTATCCCAAATTAACGTCTTAGGTGTAATGTACAGGTCTTCATCATCCAGCTAAATTATTTAGGACGAAGAAAAAGTCCTAAAGTTTTTGTGCTTTGTTTTATGTAACTTTGAGATGTCCCTTTTAAGTTGTCAACTCACACTCATTGAAAGCAGAATCAATGGTTATTGTATTTGTGTGCAAGGAGAGCAACTTTGGTTTAATACACAAAAAGTGACTCGCAATCTTCTTTGCCTTTGGAATAATCATGGGATGGGGCTCAGACAGATTTTGCACTCATGCTTTCTGGTTATTTAACCTATAAATCACATACTGTGATTCCTTTAGTCTGCATCAAAGCCTAAACAATTCAATATTGTGACCTAATTAATGCCTCGAAATGGAGATTAGACTAAAAGTTAACGATTCTTAACGAATAATATTTCGGTTTGTCGGGCATTTTCTGAATTTTTATATCATTTACACATCCCACATGTTCTCCACTCTGCAGGTTCCTTGTTCATTAAGGTGGTATTTTTATAAATTATAGGGTTCAAATTCTTGTGCCAAATGCCAGTTTGTGACAACTATAAGATATATAATACATATACAAAAGTACAAACAGGTTTCAGTGTGCTTGTTGAACAAGGTGCCCAGGTAGGTACTCATGTGACTTAGGGCTTAAAATGTTTTCCGTACAAAAAACAACTATATGTATATATGGCCTAGCCTGTTGCTTCTGCAGTTCTGCTGGGCCCGAAGTTACTGGACTATCCCTAGTCTTGATGCTTGGGTTGCCCTCGGTTTGAAAAACTAAATCAAACGGTTTCACACAAATATCCATTGGGTGTCTTGGGATTTCGAACCTCTAACCACATGAGTGAAGTAGAGGTGGAAGAGCTTAACCAATTGAGATATACCTCACGGGCTTCTTAGTAACAATTTTAGTTTTGGTTCTTCCTCCTAATGAGGTCCAGCTTTTTGGTGCTGTTATAAGTCTTTTCTACTTGGTTGGCAGTTTGTTTTGTTTCTTGCTTGGTCTGTTCCCTTTGCTGCTTTGTAGTTTGTTGCTTTTTTAGGCTGTGGCGGGTTGTTTCTAATTGCTGCATTCTAACTTGGATTTTTTCTTTGTTTGGTGTTGAATGATGCATTATTTATTTACCAGAAACAAAATAGCATATAGTTTTCTTTTCAGCTGAATTTATATGCAGATATATAGCTTTTAAAAAATCCTAATTATTGGGGTTAGCTTGTCATCATTTTCTTTTTTTTATTTGGTTCAGATGAAAGTACAATTTGATGTTAAATTTTAGCATATATGATTCTTAATGCCAATTTTATGTCTGGGAAATTTTAAATAAGAGAGAAACGATGATGATAGCTGTGGTGTTGACAGTGATGTTATGATAAAGAGTATTTATAGTGGTATGATTTAACTAAATAAGATATGTAATAGCCAGATGGTCAACTCTGTTTTTTATGCACAATTCAACATGGCCTTGTTGATCAAGTGTTCTATTTAAAATTGGATTATTTTATTGAAATTTTCTTGAGGAAATTTAGAGCATGTTGCAGGAATTACTGCAAAATTATTAATTTACACATCCAGAAAAGGGAGAGAGAGAGATAGGAGCTCAATCAGAATCTGGCAATGTCTCAAGTACAAATGGAATTCAACATTACAAAGCTTTTATACTTGAAGATTCTGTTGAGCCTAGAGCATTTGGAACACCAATCCTATGAAGTTAGGCCATCTCAATTTGGCCAGCAGCATGTCTACTTTTGGCTGATGACTCAATATCATATCCATACCTAGAATTTTCAAGCTTTTCACCTTGACCCCAGATGGCATAAGCTTCTTCCCCATGAGCTGCTTCATCACCTATCTCCATATCCTCATCGGACATTCTTAGAGGCACGATGAATTGGATCAAAAGACATAGAAGGCTGGTAACTACAACATTTAGTATGACAATGTAAAATATCCCAAGAAGTTGAATTCCCAGTTGACGAAACCCGGTATGGACAACTCCCATTTGGAAACCATAGAATAGGCCAACATACTGTTCATATGAGGTAGTGAACAGGAAGCAGAGCCTTGGATGGGCAAAGAGACCAGTGAGGATTCCACCAAGGGCGCCGGCGATGGCATGAGTGTGCAGAACAGCCATTGTGTCATCAACTTTTTGAAGGAGCAAAGATTTCTTGTGGACAACCATCATGGTGAACCAAGGAATTGAGCCAGAACATAGCCCCATTAGTATGGCTGCCCATCCTTGCACAACTCCTACATGAGATTGAAAGTGCAACAAAGGATATCATTAATATATCTATCATTCTTCTCCTTTTTTCTGATATAGAAGTCATACATTTAAACTTTTAATTTGGTATTGTAGATTAATCATGCATTTTCTTCCATGCCACTAAAATTAGGGACAATGGCTGTTAGTAATTGGTACTAATTTTTTTATGCTTAGACATGTGTGCTGGTTTTGTAGCTTTGTGAACTTACCAGCAGCTGGGGTGATGCAAACCAAACCAGTGATCATGCCTTGAACTGCCCCGATGACCGAAGGCTTGCGGAAAAAAATGAGGTCAAGCATGAGCCAAGTGAGCAAACTGGTAGCAGTGCATACATGAGTGTTCAAGACAGCCAAGGAAGCATCAACACTGACTACATAAGGGTCTCCTCCATTGAACCCTGTCCAGCCCATCCAGAGCAGTCCTGCACCAGTCAACATAAGAAGAATGTTGTTGGGAGGGAATCTTTCCCTGTCCTTGTTAGAACGAGGACCAACCTGCATCATCGAATTAGATTCCACATGATCATCATATTTTCAAGCAAATGTAGAAATGAACTGAAACTTTTTTTATACAATGGTGTTATGTGAAACATAAGGGAGACTTCAAACTTGAAGAGAAAGTAATTTTGGTACATAATATTCTTCATATAACAGATTAGCAATTGAAAGAAAGAAAACCAAGGTGAATGAGTAAGAAGGTTTTTCCTACCCAATAGGCTGCTGTGAAACCAGCAACTCCAGAAGACAAATGGATCACAAACCCACCAGAATAATCTATCAGTCCTTTCTTGAAGAGGAAACCATTAGGGCTCCAGATACTAAATGCTCCAATGGTGTATGAAAAGGTCAACCACAAAGGCACAAACAGCATCCAAGCATAAAAGTTCATCCTACCCAAGAGGGCCCCAGCAATCAAAATCAAAGTAATTGCTGCGAACACAAATTGGAAATACACCATTGTAGCATTTGGGAACTTCCCACTAAATGCCTGCTCCAGGAGATACTTTTGGTTCAATGCCACATCAGCTCTCCCCCAAAATGGAACTCCCTTAATCAGAGGATCCCCAAATGACATATGATATCCCCACCCAACCCAACAAACAAGAACACAAGCAAATGCATAGAGTGCCATGAAAGCTGAATTCACAGCCCATTTCTTCTTCACTGCACCGCCATATAGGATTATGAGCCCCGGGACACTCTGGAGGCCAACCAGTGTCGCGGCTGTCAGCTGCCACGCGTTGTCAGCTTTGTTCATCCAGTCCGGACTAGCAGGATCCGGTAGGAGGTTGATAGGCAGAGGTGGATAGGTGCTGTTGCTCATTTTGCTTTCCTTTTCTCACTCCAAAATTTATGTGTCACACCCTAACACTACACAAAATGTGCTCTTGATCAAGCTATGTGGTGAAACTTGTGGATTTAGCACCAATCAAGTTGTGCTTTTATGTTAGAGGATTGGGGTTTTGTTTCTCACGAAAAGCTGTCACTGTGATGTATAATCTTTGGTTTCATTTGAACTCATGATTTAATTTGTTGTTGCTAAACGATGTGTTCTTTTTCTGTCTTAGGTGCCCAACTGCTACATGCAGTTTTGGACATTTGGCGGGTATTCCAACCGCTCTTAACGGTATTTCCAATGATGCCCTTTAGCCGTTTTGGTCTCACTCCCAATCACAAAGTAGAGCACATCATAGTTAGAGGTGAAAAAAAGTTTAAATATTATTAGTGGAATATTAAACAGAAAGAGGTGATGATCAAAAGGGATCAAAGCAAACATGGAAAGTTTGTCTTTGACAGGAGGACATGGGGAGCTCCAAATGGTTTGTATTTACATAAAAGCATTTGCATGGGACCTTTTTTTTTTATGACAGCTTAACACCAGAAGACAACCAAGTTTAAATTCTAAAATTCCAAGGCATCAACCATTTTAAGAAAAATAATTTAAAATAAAAAGAGTTAAAAATTCGGGTGGGAATGTATGAAGTAAAAATTGGAATCATTCAAGGGTATTAGAAATATCGACAGAAAATTTGAGGGTTTTGGATATTGACAAAGATATCGATATTACGATAAATATTTTTTTTAGGTCAGATATTAAGATAAATATTTGACTTTGATGAAATCTTTGAGTAAAATGCACACCAAAAACGTGTAGAAATTATGGTTCTTAAAAAGTTGAAGATAGATTAGATATTTCATATCATGATTATACTGTCCATATTATGTTTTACTCCTTTTTTTCCAGTGGAATTTACTAGTTTTGGTGACTAGAATAATAATAAATTTTTTTAAAGAAAATTGGGTTGACCACTTTAAAAGTGTATGGGTGGAATCTATATGATCTGGATCATCCAGTCTCAGAGTCATTCTCTGTGTCTTTGGAATATGAATAAGATGTTTGAAGGTGCACCAAACACACAAATAGCTAATTTTGATACACCAAACTTTTTTAGCAATTGGTATTGTATTTGTATGAAGATGATGTATTGAATTTTCTTCACTTTTTGTTTCTTCATGTAGCAATTTTCTGAGTTTTGCTATATGCACATGAACAGAAAATAGTTGAACTTGAACTTAAGCAGGTCGTCTGTCAGGATTAATTAACATGACATTTCGATTACCTTAATAACACCATGTGGCGGTATTAGGGTCACGCCTTACCGTTATGATTAGGAACTATGAAATCCAACCATTTTTGGGTTCTCTAATTTTACCTGAACTATTTCTTATTTTCTTCTGGTGTTTCTGGAATTAATCAATAATCTTGATATTTCCTCTATTTTTCACTGTTTTCTAATTATTCTATATTTAAGTTTGATGCTTTTGCTCCCTGTATAGACTTATTATTTTTGGAAGGGGAACTTTTTGAGATTAATGTTTTGAAAGAGAGAGAGGTCTCTCACATTATAAAGCACCTTCTGTAAAACAAAGTCTGAACAAAGGGACATAACATAAACTCCAAAACTAATAATAGCTGTCTCTCTCTGCTACCAGTTACTACCACTGGGAAAACATGGGGTTTCCATCCACATAAGAATCCAAGTCAGCATCCAAGATCTTCTTCAGCAGCAAAGCCGCCATCTCTCGAGCTCGAGCCGATCCTCTGACTGAAATATCAGCTATCAAAGTTGAGAAGTCCGGCAGCCTCAAAGCATCTCTCACACAGCCCTCACTTTCCTCAAACAGGAGAAGCAGGATGTCAGCTGCACCCTCCTTGCTCAGCATGCACCTCCCCTTCAACACATCTACCATCTTACTCACAATCTGGTCAGTTTTTCTCAGAGCATTCAATCCTTCATCGAACCTTGCAAGAAGGGCTAGAACCAGAAGAGAAGTTCCAGCTAGATCCTCGCCATCGGTGCTCTCCACCACTTGGATAAGAGCTTGAACAGCTCCTTCTCTCACTGCCAGTGTGCAGTTCCCGTGGAACCGGACAAGCTCGGCTAGAGAGCTAAGGAGGTGATGAACAGCAGGACAGCGGGGACCGGCAATGGCCTTGACAAGCAACTGGATGGTGCCTGCCACCCCAAACTTGGCCTTGTTCTTGTCAAGCATTGCCAAACTGCAAACCAGAGACGAAGCAACTCTGCCAGACTCTTCTGAGTTCAAGGTGGCAATTATGGAATTCAGGTGGTGAATGGTTTCGATATCTGCAAGAGATTGCTTTAGATCAGGGTTGAGGGAGAGGTTGAAGAGGATGGACAATGAGAGAATCTGAATGATGTTGGAGGAAGATTTTGAGAGCGTAAGTAAGGCGGGGATGGCTCCTTCTGTTAGCGCAAGCAAGTTCCTGTTTAGGGGGCTGACCTTGGTGATGGAAACTAGGGTCTGAAGAGCTTTTTGCTCCGCTTCATGAGAGTCTGATGACTGTGCCTCAGAGAGGCACTGCCTGATCACCTCACGAACCCGGGCAGACGACATTGTTTGCAGCACTGGTTTCAGAGTAGGGCTTGGCATGCTTAAAGAGTCTTCAGGGTTGAGGCTTATGCATTCCAACTTACCAAGAAAAATGATTTACCCAAGTTGAGACTTTAAGACAAAATCGTAGATGATTCCAATGCTTAGTTGAATAGGGTTCTTGGAATATCCTCCAAAATCTTTGGTCTTTCGGGTCCCCATAACAAGCAATTTTGGAGCATTGTATCGAGCTTCACGAGTTCCCAAATACAGAGGACAAAGACATGCAGCAAATACTAAGCGATCCAATGGGCAATGGCTCTAATCTAATTGGCTGAAAAGAATCACATCCAAATTACTCCTCTTTACCCTTCACTTTTTACTGGTATTGCCTTAGAATAGATAAATAGAAAGTAAAAGAAGATTATACAAGGTATTCCGATCAAAATATAGCCATCAAGTTTTCTTTAAAAAAAATGTAGTAATCGATTATTTTATCTTCAGACACAATTCAAAACTATTGGCGACTCAAAAGAATCGAGTTCTAATTAACAGACCATGAAACCAAAATTATCACCAACTCGAGCATCGCCGAGCGCAATCTCAACTAAGCATCACCGGTAAACAAACAAAAAAGAATTATTAAAGCTACACAGTATAAAGACTGCCTCCTCATCAAATTAATCAAAATTTTATTTTCGCAACAAACTTGTTAGCCAGATCAATGATGACCATCTGGCGGACCTCCTGGGCCAACCACTTCCAACTGTAACAAAATTTAACATAAATTAGACATGTCTATTCATTCAAGTAAGTTTATCCAGTACTAAGGTGTAAAAAAGACTACAAAGTAAAAATTTCACCATCCCTCAGAGTACAGATAAAGAAAGAATAAGGCTCAGTCAGTCACCTTAAAATATTGAGTACAGACAGGGCATTCATGTGGCTTTCCTTTCTCCAGCCAAAACCACACAACATCATGCTCATCTTCTGCAGACATAAATATTCATAAATTACAGTTAGCTCTGCAACTGTGGAATGACTTAGTTGAGAAGGAATGAGAAAAGATGTAACGAAGTGGAGTACTATACCTCCTCCCTCAATACCAGGGCATCCAACTATTCTTTTGTCATAGTAGGACTTAATTATCGCTGGTGCTTCCTACAAGACAGAAATATAATAGGATTAGTCACATTAGAATGTGATTGAAGACCACATATTGTCAGCTTAATGGAAGACATGGTGTACACTTTCTTATCCAATGTGAATTTACACGAGGAAATGAGAGGTAGGATGCACGAAGAGGACTGGTAAGCATATTTTTAATTACTTGACAAAGAGACGGGGAATCCCCGAATTATTAGGAATTATCAAGATTAGGTATACATTCAAAAGACTTCCATCCCACCTGCTTGAAACAACTTCTAAGATCCAGACGATTAGTCCTTTTTTTTCAACTAAATTAGGTGCTCATGGCAAGTGCATCTTGTACAAGGGTGAAGTGCAAAATGTGGTGGTAACATTAAACATTTTCCCCTTCTTCATAAATATGATTTTGATTACGCATAAGGGGAAAATAAGTTAATTATTGGGGAAATGGAGATGAAAGGGACAAAGTGCATTGGAGAAGATGTAAACTTATTGTCGCCAAAAATAATGTGAAAACTGTGCCACATGCAAGACATACATCTTGGAATATGAAGAGTGAAAGAAAATTGCTTATCTGTTTTAAGAAATGCTTCAATTGTATAAAAATTTCCACTCATGGGGTCATAGAGCACAGTTATCAAACACACTTGTGAATGAAGTAGCAAGAACATATTAGAAATTCTTGAAGTTCTTTCCCACTTTACAGACTAACTATAATGAAAGAAATCCAAACAAATGCATGAGTTAAATTAGAACCACTACCTTGGTACCAAAAGGACCAACTGGATAATTGATTTCAAGAACGTTCCCTCCCTGCATACAAACATATAATGAGATCAAACCACTAAATAGCCTATAATTCAGGAACTCTCATATTCTTAAAACGCAAAAAGAAAAAATAGCAAAAACAACATTAGTAATCATTAACCTCAAGCTCGGCCGCAAGCTCCTCACGCTCGTGACCCGTTGCAATGGGCATAACATCCTCAACCTTCTTCTTCAAAGCTTGATATCACGAAAAGAACATAATCAACACATTATGCATAAAACTTCCAACTCTTCAGACCACACTGAAGATTAGGGTTTCAATATTAGAAATTCTAAATTTTCTGGTAACGGGTGCCAGTAGAACCAGGACCTGTTGACCTGTGATTGCACCACAGAGCCAACAGGAGGACCGGCGGCGAGAAATTTTAGATTTTGATTAATAACTTAATCATAATCTTAAGACCCAATTCTACATTTGATTTTCGAAATCCAACAATAACTAATTTTGCCTCGATTCTCCTACATTTTCCCGGTAACCAAACAGACAAGAACAAAAAGTAATACGTGACTAACCTAATCAGGATCAGAACAATAGCAAAAGTTGAACCTGAACACAAAAAGTCGACTATTTTTTCATTTCTAATTCTCTGAAAGACAAAGAAAATGGAGACGCACCAGAAGAGGAAGCGCCGGTGGCGTGGGGGAAGGAGGGAGGCGGGGATCTCGGCAACGGCGTCGACGAAGGGGAAGACGCTGAAGAGATTAGGAACCTACGGGTGAGATTGAGAGATGAGGATCTGCATGAGGCTGATGCGAGGGCTTGAAGCTGAGCTGAGGAAGAAGATGCCACTCGCCTCCACATTTTTGCAGCGTCTGAGTCACAAACAGAAACAATTTGTTACTCTGACTCTCTCTCTCTGCCAATTTTTATACGAGTGTCGCTGTGAGAGTGAGATAGCGAGAATTTTGGCTCCTTTTTTTTATATTTATTTTTATTTTTATTTTTGACATTTTTTGTTGTATTGGGTCGGGTCAACTATCCTTCGTATCGGGTGAATCTTTTTAATAGGATAATCTCCACTAAGAAAGGTAGTATTTGATTCATTCAAACTAATCATTATGTTTGGAGCTGGTCCTAGTAACTTCTCTCTTCCAACAAAAAAATAAAAAAATATACTCATATTTTCAACTGAAATTAAAGTCTCGTTTGGGAATGTTTCTGTAAGAAACATTTTTGTTTATCACCGCTTTTTAGAAGTACTATTATTAGAAGAATGTCTTGAAAATCCAAGTGCTTCTCCTAAACAGGCTTGTAACCGAAAAGCACTTGTAAGTTTTTAAGAAACACTCATAAACATGCCCTAAAATCATAAACCAAATTGATCATATCGGAGTATTTTACAAAAAGCTGACAAGGAATTCCATTAATAACCGGCCGGTTCAATCCTTGGAACTACAAGTCATTTGCCCAATACAAACATTTTAGACATTGATTTTGACAAATTCACTTTTCCAAAGTAGGGGAAATTTGTGAACAATGTTCAATTTTTTTTAGGAGTTCAGACAGAAAACCCCAGGTTAGTGAAATTGACCTGTCAACGACAGTCGAAAGTCAAAAGTCAAACACCCACAACGAAACCTGAAACAGCCATTATGTAAAAGACCTTGGAATGTATATCAAATCAAATGATCTCGAATTACAAAAAAACATAGAATTATGACATCTCGCGCAATCTGCATAATTCTCATGGGTAAATTCCATCTACTACAACAAAACCCACATCAACAATTTCGCATGCCTCATATTGACCCACATAATATTCACTTCTCAACATGTATGCTTAAACGTGCCAATTATTGATAATCTACGCTACAGTCGATAACACCGGTAAAAACTACCAATCACTAGGCGCTCCAGGCAAAGCAGGATAAAGCAACCCCCTTTGCTACTACAATATTATCTTTCAACTCGAGTCCGGCGAACCGTCACCATAAGAAACCAGGCCCTTCTTTCCGTCTGGGCTTCCCGACGATGATGATCTAGACCTGGCTTTCCCCGTCCGAATTGGAGACTTGGAGTCCGGAGAGGACCTTGATTCTGATGGGCTCCTGCTTCTAGAAGGAGATCTTCCCCTCTCAACCCGAGGAGAGGCACGTGATCTAGCCACCTCCACTGGAGAGTGACTACGGCTCCGAACGGGACTATGACTCCTGATGGGGCTACGGCTACGACTATAGTGTCGGCTGCGGTAACGGGGGCTGCGTGATACAGGAGTTCTGCTTCTTCTGCTTCTGTATCTGCAGGTAAGTGTTAAATGAAATCACAGTCAAAGGTTGCATAATCCACCACAAACAGAACAATGAAGGAGAAACACAAGTATATGGCATTAAAAAGTTCCGTGGCCAACTGCCAAGAAGTTGTATTGCACATATGCATTTACCTATTTTGTCATTTTTTTAATCTTGTAAAAGCACCAAACAAGATCTTGGCTCTATACAGTTTTACCAACAAGCAACTCAACATAAGCAGCCTCATTGTTGAAATCTAGTCAAGCGCAGTAGATAAAGCAGAAGCATATAAGAGGCAAGATCACATACCTAGGAGGTGTTCTTCTTGGTGGACTTCTATAACGCCTCGGGGAGTACCTGGACCTTCTGTAACTTGAATATCTAGAAACACAAACGGCCATATACAAAAAAGGGGTAGACGCTTAATCACCACATGATCCACGCTACATAATATGGTAAAAGAGCTTTACTAAAAAAACAAGGACTTGCAATTACCTGTCACGATCACTTCGACCACCACCATAACGATAAGATCTCACAGGAGATAAAGAAGGGGTTCTGTACCTCCGTGCATAAGAGTATCGCTGACTGAAACCCCGCCCCCTTCTAATGCGCTTCGGTGACCCATCAGGTGAAACACTTCTAGACAAGCTCCTCCCCCGATCTGGTGATGGAGGTGACCTTACCCTGCGCACTACTGGGCTAGGGCTCCTTGAATAGCTACGACGGTTATTCCCAGTCGGGGCTCTGAACGGACTGCGGCTAGTGCTTTTCCTAGAAGGAACCCTACCCGAGCTTCTGCTTGCACTCCTTCGAGAAGATCTCACTGGGCTTCTGCTTATGCTTCTTGAATCTCTTACAGGGCTTCTGCTAACTGATTTAAGCAACGATTTTCTAGGTGGACTTCTGCTTATGCTTGAAGCTCTGACAGGACTTCTGCTAATTGATTTATGTGGTGCTTTTCTAGGTGGACTTCTGCTTATGCTTCTTGGAACTTTTACTGGGCTTCTGCTGAATGATTTACGCGATGTTTTCCTTGGTGGGCTCCTGCTTACACTTCGTCTAGGGCGGGATACAGGACTCCTGATGATTCTTTGAGACCGCGCTTTCAATGGACTCCTACCCCTCCGGCCCCTCACTGGACTTCTGCTGAAACCTCTGGCTGGACTTCTGCTGAAACCTCTGGCTGGGCTTCTGCTGCTGTCACTTCTAACAGGACTCCTGCTGATGCTCCTGCTCCTTTGAGGGGCCCGAGGAGGGCTTCTACTAACACTTGAACTCCTGCTTTCACTCCGTTTGGGACTTAAGCTTGGGCTCTTGGTCAGACTCCTCCTGGGACTAATACTCATACTCTTACTCATGGCCCTCTTGGGACTCAAGCTTCGGCTCCTGCTCATCAACTTTTAATAAAATACCAGATCTGGAAGAATCGGTAAGCATAAAGAATAACTGAGGTGTGACAAGAATGGAAAGAAGACCTAGATTTTCCCGGGTGATCATCAACTATGTCAGGCTGTCTATCTGCACTTTTGTCATATTTAACACCTGCTCCATGGCCATTGCTCCGCTTCTCTCCATTTTCCTTGGGAGATGCACCTTCTTTCTCAAGCACTTCTGCTTCCTCCCTCTTTTTATGGTGAACTGACGCAGCAGCATCATCCACGGCATTGGGGGATTGGTTTCCAACTGCAGAAATTACAGAAAAGCATGAATATAAGACCCAAATCAATTAGTGAGAGAACAAAAACAGTGTCTTGAGTACTCCATGCAGGTGGGCTAGGTAAATGATAACAAAAATCACAGTTCAAGCATCGGTTTGACCCGTTCACTAATAAGATGGTGAACCCCAAACCCCTATCGCAACAACCCAAACACTAACAGCTTATTGTTGCTCACTTGTCCAACCCAAACACCACCCCCCAACCCCCAATTAAAAGAAACAAAGTAACAAACTGAAGGAAATGAACAAGTAGGATCTTAAGGTAAGAAACTGATGGCAGCTTAATCAAATATATTCTAGAAAAATAAAACAGTCGAAGAAACTGTTATTGAAAGCACAGCAACAATAATTATCATAACGGAAGTGCCACAATTTAAGAATGCAGAATGGAAGCAAATGAAATTAGTTAAAGTACCAGCTTTTTCAGAAGTGTCCTTCTTAGACTTTCGATCCTTCCTTTTGGCATCAAGGCCATCATGTTCATGGTCACTGTCACTTTCAATTTCACTGTCGGTATCCGTAAGACCGTCCGATGCCCTTAAGAACAGAATTAAAAACATCAGATTGTAGACTTAATAAAACATGTACCATGTTTCAAATAGGTGTTCCTATTTAGAAAAATAATATATAACGGTTTTGTTTCACCCAACAAAAACGTATCCATATGACCAACTATACACTGCCCTACCTTCAACTACTCCCTCCTAATGATCCAAAAATGTAAATTAAGACACAGCTCTCTTCCACTGCTAACAACTAAGACACATAACAGGCAACATCAACCAATATGTAACAACGCTTTTAACAGCACAAGACAAGGACCCGTGGCCGTACATAAGCAAGTGCTCAAGTGGTAAGTAAACAAAAATTGTTTATACAAAAGTCTGAGCAGTCATAGGTGAACCAGAAAAGGGACTTTGGAATTATAAATAAACATTCAGCATACAACCTTCTTGATCTGGTCTTAGATTTCTTTTCCCGCCGCCTTCGCTTTCTGTCACGCCGTTTATCCCGCCTTTTTCCACGTCTATGCCTGTCTCTTTTAGAAGATCTCTTTCTTTTCTTACGCCTGTCATCACTTGAAGAACTAGCATCAGTCGATGAGGACACATATGAATCAGAATCACTATCTGGCTCGGATGACTCCGATTCAGAATCAGAGGAACTATCCGATTCAGATGTTGAATCGTATCTCCTTCTCCTCCTCTTCCTTCTATCTCTAGAAGATTTCTTGTGCTTTCCCTTCCGCCTCACTTCATGACTATTAGCATCTGAAGAAGCATCCTTTCCCACTTTCACTTTACTTATTTTCTTTTTGTCTGCACATACAAACATTCAAATAAAACAATTAAGGATATAAAAAAAGTATGGTACTACAGAAAAACTCAGGCTTTTTATAGCCCTTAGATACCAATACTATTTCATATTGCTCAGAAATTAGATAAGATACTCCAACTAGTTCTTCCATAATCATTACCTTCGTTATGTTCACCACAATTGATGACTTTAACTAATACAGTTGGATTCCCATCTTCATCACCCGCATTTTCAATCTTTTTCAAGACTTCATGCCCCTGAGCAAGCTTCCCAAAAACTATATGCTTTCTGAAAAGTGATACACAAACACAACTGTGATTATACTGAAGAAACCAAAACATCAGATCAGGCTATTGAACAGACTGAGGAAATCAGAAATTACCACCAATTTATGAGACTACAGACTAAACAGGGAACAATAAGAATTATTTACAAAAAAAATTTAACAAACAAGCAAAAAAGCATACCTGTCAAGATTGTGGTTAGTCGCAAAGGTGATAATGAAATGAGAACCTAAAGAGTCACGAACAGCAACAGGCATAGATAGAATGCCAGGTCCAGAGTGTTTTAGCACAGGCGACTCATCTGAAGCAAAATGTCAACTAATATTTAGTACTACTCAGGAACATTCCCAAAATAAATAATGTTGAACTATTACTTAACTAAGCAACAAAACAAATGCATATTAACAGAAAGAACCAGGCACATTCATAAACAACCCTGTTCTTCAGCAATGAATACAATCCCTACTTAAACAAGCTTGTGACTGTGAGACACAATCATAAGCACTTAATACTACCAAACTAACTGGGCAGCAAAATGGCTACATATTTAGACACCAAAGAGTGAAGTCAACATAGTGTATTGATATACACAAGTATATATTTGGGCTTATAGAAAGATTGAAGAGAAAGTGAAGAAAAGGCTATGGTCACACTGTTACCTGGAAACTTCTCACCATAAATGCTTTCACCAGCTGTACCTGCAGAACAAACATAAAAGACCAGTAAAACTCAAACTCAAGTCATGTTAAGGAGGACCTCCCACAACCCTTCGCATCATTAGGCTAAAATTCAGAAAATGAGCAGCATTACCAAAATAATGTTGTCTTTGGTAGTTTTCATGTACTAAACACTTTTGCTCATAAAAAAAAAGAAGTGATTTACAGCAATTTTTTTTACAACAATAGATTTAAAGCAATGAAGATTTCACAACTCATATTGCTATACAGCCCAAGATCCAATTTATGCTTCTAGGTCAGCTCACCAGGGATTGATCCCTATCCCAATCTAGGGACCTTGGGAATCATGGTTGGAAACGATTGTGTTACAGGCTATTCTGGATATCTCCTTCCCACCTAGTTCTATACCACTTCATTTTTAGCTCAAGCAAGACCCTCCTGATTTTCCAAAACCATCATAGCTTCAACCAACATGGACTTATGAATTAAACCCTAAAGCAAAAGTTCAGGAAAATAAGATAAAAGGTATTTGCACAAACATAACAAAGACGTAGTCTTTTACCGCTAACGACAAAGAAGTAAACTTAAGACCTAACAGACACAATCAGAACTTGATCTTCAATTATTATAACAAAGTCAACACCTTTTGTCAACTCAGAACCCCAAGATGCATAAAACAGCATTGGTATTTTCCAATAAATTTCCTACTCGACAAACATCAATATAATTATCAGCCATGAATATTGGTGTTCAAATCACAATACGAAAGCCTAAATGAAATTATATTTACCAATTTAACGGCATTCATCTAAAACAGACTGCAATCTGCCTTCTTATTTTGGTAATTGTACTTTTCAAACACTATTATAAGCATCATTTCAGATAAATAGTATGCTCTTTCATCTACTATCATTGCATGAAAATAAGTCTTACCAGACTGTAATCAACCCTTTATTTCTTATAGAATTTCTTGAAAGTCAGTATTTGTTAACTTAAACCTATATTCATCAACAGTTCTCTATTTTCTACTCATTGCATTTCCAAAGAACTGGTAATCTAATCAATCCTTTTGCTTAAAGAAAGGGAAAATCTAATTGAATGATTTAAGAGTCAGACAATGTGAAACATGATTTTGGTCTAGGTTTAATATGCAAGATGATGGAAAAAATGGGACGTTAAACATAATGACTGCAGAGAAATAAGAAAACATAATGACTGCAGAGAAATAAGAAAACATAATGACTGCAGAGAAATAAGAAAACATAATGCATACCATCTCTTTTGATAAAATCGCCACCCTGCAAAATAAACAAGAATCATTAATCCCTCTAGGTAAAAAGGAAAAGAGAACGCAGAACTGGTTTGAGCATGACGAAGCTTAGTAAAATTTTGAGGATACACAACTTAGTAAGTACAACCTTAAAACTATATCACAAGAAAAGCAGTCGTGACCATCAGCCCTGTATCCTACAGAATAAACAAGGGTAACTGACTAAAAGACAAACCACTGCTAAGGCATGCTCAACCAGAAAACCCTATGAAAGACAAATCTAAAAGCAAGGCAAGGAGGCATACCTGTGCTATATAACCTTTTATAATGCGATGGAAAAAAGACCCTTTGTAGTGCAACGGTCTTCCACTTTTTGGACCGATTCCCTTTTCCCCTGAGTATTCAACAAAACAATAAGATATCAGAAAACCAAGCCTTCTGGTTATAGTCTGATACAATACTCCCTGAAACTGACTACCTCCACCGGCCCCAAAGGAAAAAAAAGTGGAATCTTATAATCATTACAAGAAATTGATTAGGTGAGTGTTCAAGTCCATATAGGAATTCATGGGCACAACACAAGTTGGTTATAGAAGACGAATATGTCATTACATGAGCTAAATGAAAGTTACAGAATATATTACCTGTACAGAGAGCACGGAAATTTTCTGCAGTTTTGGGAGCAACATCAGAGAAAAGCTGCAAAACAATTGCCAAGGAAAGATTAAAGGTCAAACTCAAAAGTAAATGCAAGGATAGTCACAAAGCTGGAATGGAGACAAACAGCAAGAACCACATCATTCATGAAAGAAGATATATCCACTGGTTATTTTAGTTCAGAAACAGTACCTCAAAAACCATTCGTTCAACAGGATCGCCATCGACGGACACATCCATAAAAACCAGGGGGTTCTTCTTCTTTGTCATTTTTTGTCTTTCAGAAATGAAACTCAAGCTGATATAACCACTGATATAATGAAGTAATCGTACATCACTGAGGTCATCACCAAAGTCATTAGTAAACTGACAAATAAAAACTAAAAATTGAACTATTACTCAATTACTCTGGCACAATATGCTAGGTTCTCCATGAATATTGGAACTCAAGGTGTCAGAAAAAACGACCAAACTGGACATAGAAATTGTCACAGTTCCAGGCGTAATACACGACTAAAACCACTAACACCAGTAAGAATCTAAACACGCAGACATCCATTAAGTTTAACACCAGGAATAATTAGACTAAATATTATCATGGATCCAGTATAAGCGCTTAATAAGCGAACCCAGATCAAAAAATGTCAAGGTAATCCTTAATCAAACACGTCACTAACACAGTTTTCCTCACCTACACACCCACACACTGTCCAAATACCAAATCAAGCTCCGAAACCTTAAACCCTAGCTAAATTCCCACAAACCCTAAAAACAAATGCATGCGTAAAACTTGATATTTACAGCATCAGGCTAAACACAAGACATATTTTGCTTTATTTCTCAGCGAAATTTACAATTACGAATTCACAGCTACAGCAAAAAATTAAAGAAAATTAAAATAAAATAAAAATACCTACGAGATATTTGTATGTACGTAAACATTAGATTTACCCGACTAAATAGAGGGAAAATGAACTGTTACAACTGGAAAAAGAAGCAATGAAACCCTAGAGAGTTCACCTGAGAGACGCTGAGCCACAGAAAAGTGACGACGAGATGAGAGAGTGAGGTCTGTCGAAAAATACCTAAGTGCCGCAACATATATAAGGGGCCTAGCTGCTTCTGCTGGGATGGAATTACTAGACTGTCCCTGTTCTTGTTAATGGGATCTGGACAATATTGTCCTTCGCGCCTGGGTTGTCCCTTTTCATTTTTCCTTCTAAAAATGTTATTTTCCATTTATGATGGAAACATTTGCATATTGCATTGCATCTTTCTTTGATGAATTTGTATGCGTTGTTTTTTTTTTTCTATTTTTACTTTATTACCCATAAGTTCTTAATGAAAATACTTTTTTTAATATAATCGATATTGAAAGATTGTTTTTTTATTTCTATTTTTACTTTATTACCCATAAGTTCTTAATGAAAATACTTTTTTTTATATAATCGATATTGAAAGATGGAGAATTAAGAGTTCATGTGCGACATAATTAATGAATGCTCTTGACTACTTAAACTATAAATCGCTCATTTTTAATTAAAATACTTAAAAGAGTACATATGCTAGTCTTTGTATCTATTAGGGGTTGAAATAACATAATTTATCAAGTGTCGTCTTGTAAGTAAGTGTGTTTTTTTATATATAAATAATACTAGAGGAGGAGTTTTCTCTCACACGCACTGTCAAGATGTCATGAGAGTTAAAAAACGAGACCATTGAACTAGACCTTGTTGGCAATAAATAATTGTAGTTTATCATAAAACCAATCTCGTTAAAATATATAACAAATTCTTTATGCTCCAAATGTGAACTATAAGAATGGATGTCACAAGTGTGTCAAAGTATGAAAGCTTAACTAAGTTACATAATCAATGAATAATTTGAAATCCATCACATTTCAATATTTTGAAATTATAATCAACTGTGATAACTCATCTTTTAATACACATATTTTTGTTATATATTTTTGTTGTTTGAGCCAACGGGGTTTAGCCTGGTGGAAAATGACATTGACTTGCAAACTAGGGGTCTCAAGTTCAAACCCTATTACACCTTAGTAGTTTGTGTGTGAAAAACCCCTCTCACCTTGTAGTTTAGATTATCACTTATATTAAAATAAAAAAACATTTTCATTGTTCGAAATGGTGAATGACTCAACCTTTTAGTATTTTCTTAATCAATAAAATCATTATCTCATTATCATTTAAATTGAGGATTTTTTTTTTCTTTTAAGGGAGAGGGTAGACAATATTTAGACTCTTACAATGACATGAGTGAAGGATTACACTAAAATCCTTTATTGTTAGATATCCACAATCTTATAATTAAGCTAAACAAATAGTCTAATGAGTTGGGAGCATGAATTAGTCAAATGAGAATTCCATTTAAAGATGTTGGTGGAAAAAAATCCACTTATTTTTCGGAGTTGAGGTCTAAAATTGAAAAGTGATGTTTTAAAAGATGGTTAAAAAATCATCCTTGAAAAATGAGAACGAACGGCATGTCGTTTGTGTTCGAAAGCTTATAGCGATTAACGGGTCGCTCAACTCAACCAGTCAAGGAGGCAATGGAGAAGGGTTTAGGCAAGCAGGGAGACGAGGCATGGAGGGTCCTCGAGTTCTACAGCGGTATTGGTGGCATGGTAATTAGCAAACCCATATACCCAAAACCCATTTTGCTTCCACTTTAGAAGTCTTTAACGATTTGCTCAAGTTTGTATCTTTGTGATTGTTAGAGGTACTCGCTGATGAAGGCTGGAGTGAATGCCAAAGTCGTGGAAGCATTCGACATCAACGACACAGCTAACGATGTTTACCAGCACAATTTCGGCCACCGTCCCTATCAGGTTCTTTCCTCTTTTGCAGTTCAATTTTTGAGTCCAAATTGAAGCTGTTTTATTATACAGTATATAGATGTAAGTAAAAATTTGTGTTGTTTGTTTGACCACTGAAGGATCAAAAGTTTGTATATTTATGGTTACCCAATTTATTTTTCTTGCATTTATTCTCTTAGATGCTCAAAGTTTGGAGTTTTTGAGGTTTTTGGTCTTTGTCTTCCAACTTGCTCTATATTGGGTCAGTTTGGATTTAAACCATTTGTTCAAAAATGTCCGGACTAGTGACTACCTGTAGTCTGCGTCCAATATTGGGGCTCAAAGCTGCTTTTGCCTTCCCATTATTGATGTTTGGATTTTCAGCTTCTCAGACAGGGTATTTAGTAGAACTACCTGAATTCACCTTGTACCAACAAAAAAAATAATAATATTTGTGTTCGTGTAGGGTAATATCCAGAGCCTTACTGCTGCCGATGTCGACAGGTATGGAGCGGATGCATGGCTTCTTTCTCCTCCTTGTCAACCTTACACTCGACAAGGTTAGTTTATCATCATTGTCCTGTTTACTGATATATGACATTAATTTGCATAGATTTTCACTAGCTACTTATGGATAGGTCTCCAAAAGCAATCTGGTGATGCTCGGGCTTTTTCATTTCTCAACATTCTTGAGTTGATACCACACACTTCGCAACCTCCAATAATGTTATTTGTGGAAAATGTTGTTGGATTTGAGGTTTATTCCTGGAAGTTTTAGCTTAATTATAGGTAAAACTATTGATTTGTTTTTATTTGATTTCCTTTTTTTTTCCTGGTTGCAGACATCTGATACGCATACGAAAATGATAGAGATATTGCGAAGAACTAATTTTATTACGCAGGAGTTCATATTAAGTCCGTTACAGTTTGGTGTGCCATATTCCAGGCCACGCTATTTTTGCCTGGTAGTCTCCTCTCTCTCTGGTTCCTAGTCATTCAGAAAATCTGGGAGCTCTCGTGCTCTTCTTCTTTCCAAGAGTATTAATCTATAAATCATATATTCATTTATCCTGCAGGCAAAGAGGAAACCTTCAACCTTTCAGAGTCAACTTTTCAATAATCAGCTTCTTCAGTCCCCAGGGCCATTATTTAGGCATACAAATGCTGAGGAGACAGTGTTCTGTGAACTTGATGAACCACAAGAGAGCTGGGATAGGATGCTTGAATCTTGTGAGCCTATAGAAAGCTTCCTTGAATTCAAGAATTGCAGTGACCAATCAGAGTCCAATTTTGTGGACACCACTACTGTTTCTACAGATAGTGATGAAGTTTTGGATGAAGGGAATGAATATTGTAGCGGTGCCCTATATCAGTACTCTGTTCCATTGAGCTTGATAGAGAGGTGGGGAAGTGCCATGGGTATCCTTTTTTCTTTTATTACTGTCCATTATTGATTGTAAATATAAATTCTTAACAGAAATATCCTAGGTCTGGAATCCACGGAAACTCCCTAAGAGTGGAAACGCAGAAATGTTATTGAAAATGGATGCTTATGCCTCCTATAGTACAAAAGTTAGACAGAAAATAAGTCCTGTTCTGCTAGAATTTAAGGAAGAAAAAAGAAGGATCCTTGTCTTACACCATCATTTATGCTATTTTTATTGAATAACTCTCTCTCTCTCTCTCTCTCTCTCTCTCTCTCTCTCTCTGAGGATCCTTAACACGACTCAGATATTGTCTATCCTGATTCAAAGCGATGCTGTTGTTTTACAAAAAGTTATTATCGATATGTGAAGGGTACAGGCTCCCTTTTAGCAACTCTGCAGGTAAAGTATCAATTTAGACATGAAAAAAGTTACATTCACAGCATGAAATTTGGGATTTTGAGTCAAATATAAAAAGATGACACATTTGATTAGTATAAATCACATGTTAGATTGTTGATACTTAAGCACTCAGGTGCACTTATTAGATTGGACCACCATCTCAAGTTCTTGTGCTCCACAGTTCAATTCCTGGTCATACCATGACTCAATATCCAATGAATTTTTTGTTGCTTGACATTTACAAAATTGTGATATATATGCAGCCAAATAACGAGGATAAAGCATCTTCACTGAAGGAGCAGTGCCTTAGATACTTTACTCCTAGGGAGGTATGCTGATTTCTTTTACATAGCTTCTTTAGTTTTCTCCTCTATTCTTGGTTTCATGTTTTTAATGTCTGTTAATTTATAATTTTTCTTTAACCGACTTAGGTTGCTAATTTGCATTCTCTCCCAGAAGATTTTCAGTTTCCACAGCAAATAAGCCTTCGGCAACGGTATGTCATTATTTTATCTAATGCTTCAGCTTCATGTGAATTAGTAGAAAATAAACAATACTGTGCCTTTTATTTGATGAAATTTATTCGGCATGTGAATTGGCATACTACAGTTAAGCATAACAGTGGTTGTTAAGCACGGCTTATGTTTTTACTTTGTCGTCCGTTTCTTTTATGCTGCAGTTATGCATTGCTGGGGAACAGTTTGAGCATAGCAGTGGTTGCTCCTTTACTGCAATATTTATTTTCTGAATCATCATGATTTTTCAAAGACACTCCAATGTAACAGATGCAGATCTCACCTACTGCGTTACGTTCAGATCACTATTTAGATCAACCAAGAAGCTTATACTTCGGTCACCAGAATTTGATATCTCTGCTGCTTATAACATGTAACCTGATATGCTTTCATTTTAAAAATGTAACCAAGGGGAGATTATAACATGTAACGTGATATGCTTGCATTGTTCAGTGTGATCGATATGTTTTTTCGGCACAAATGCCCACCCCTATGTGGAACGAAAAGATAAAGAATGATAGAGAGAAAGTAGAGTTGTCTAAAATTGCTACAATAACCAATGATTTTAAACAAATTATCAAAATTAATTTATAGCATATGTATAATTGCTTTTTCACCAAAAATTATTGACAACAAGACCTACTGCGTTACGTTCAGATCACTATTTAGATCAACCAAGAAGCTTATACTTCGGTCACCAGAATTTGATATCTCTGCTGCTTATAACATGTAACCTGATATGCTTTCATTTTAAAAATGTAACCAAGGGGAGATTATAACATGTAACCTGATATGCTTGCATTGTTCAGTGTGATCGATATGTTTTTTCGGCACAAATGCCCACCCCTATGTGGAATGAAAAGATAAAGAATGATAGAGAGAAAGTAGAGTTGTCTAAAATTGCTACAATAACCAATGATTTTAAACAAATTATCAAAATTAATTTATAGTATATGTATAATTGCCTTTTCACCTAAAATTATTGACAACAAGACTTCTCACTTGAACCATGTGTTTTATGAAGCTAATTATGCAGCATATGTGCTGGCTGGAATGGGTTATAATGTTGTCAATGTCATCTTGGACTTCTAATTTTTCCTTTTTCATTTGTTTACGTCATCTATAGTATGACTAAATCTGGATGTCTTAGTTGTTGTTTTTTAGTTACAGAGAAAGAAAATAAAGTAATGCTACGAACAGTCGCTCAAGCGCGTGAAAATTCTATAATGTTTTGTTTAGTGCACAAAGCACTCGAACATGAACAATTTATTTATTTATTTTAAATCTTTTTTTCCTGCTAATTACACTAGCACTCTCTAATTGATAACCGAAACATAAAACTCTTTTTACAGCTTTAAATTTTAATTATGAAAAGCATGCATAACCTTCATTTCAAAAAGCATGCATAATCTTCATTTCAAACAAATTTATAGTTTTCATTTTTAAAATCAAATTTATAATTTGTTTCCTTGTTGGATACGGTCTCTTTTTCCTTTTCCTAATGCAATGTTACTTTATAATTTGTATCGCAAACTTGTCCACCAAGTTCTTTGAAATTTCTTTTTTACATTTAAAATTGACAGTTTTTTTTTTTTGGTCGAAGTAAAGTTAACTTTTTAAGAAGAAAAATGAAATCTGATAGGAAATAAATAATAAATAAAATAATAAATCTCCTAAAGTTAGGTGTTAACTCAAGGGTATGCGCATTACGCACTCTCCGTTCTGGTTGAGGTAAACTTCAAACCGACGCCAAAAAGAAAAACAAATACCAAAATATAAATTCATAAACAATTTATATTTTTTTTCATTCTCACAAACAGGCAAAGGGCAAACCCTAACTTTCCAATTTTCCTCCCAATTCAAAGCTCGCAATTCTCAAGCATACAGACTCGAAATCTCTAATTGAAGCAGAAACGCAAAGAATCGAGAACAAATTTCTTCACACAGTGATCGAATTCTGCAAAATCTCAATCAAGGTTAGTCAAATCTGTTCCAATTTTTCATTTCTAGGGTTTCGAATTTACGTTCTCAATGCTTTTCTTTTTTACTTTTATGTAAAATTGGATACGTTTGGATTATCTTTTCAAAGGATTTGATGTTATTTGCGTGCCCCAGAACTCCAAGTCCTAATTTTTATTAAAGATTTGGGGTTTTTTTTTAATTATATTGGTTCAGTTTGATACCCTGGGCTATAGATTGAGTGTTTTCTTTTCTTTTTGTTTTGTCTTGTTTGATGTCAGTTAACATACTATGGTTTTGTAAACTATTTCACTTTCATCTGGAAGAGATTGTCCCTTTCTGAGTTTACTATTTTTTAGTTAACATGTGTATCTGTTGATTTATCATCTTTTTTTAATATCGTTGTTATTGATTTTCCGGAACTCTTAGGCTCTGTTTCTGATCCAAAGATTGATTTCTTGTTACAGGTTTAGTGATATTAATAGCCATCATGAGATTCAAGAAGGGGAATAAAGTGGAGATACTTAGCCAAAAGGAGGTGCCTTCGGTAGCATGGCGTTGCGCTGAGATTATCTCAGGTAATGGGCACACCTACAGTGTTAAGTATGATTGGTCTCCTGGTAAGGATAGTCAAGCAGTTGTGGAGAGAGTTCCAAGGAAGGATATTAGGCCTTGCCCTCCACCTGTTCAAAGTGCAGAGATTTTGGCAGTTGGTGATGTTGCGGAGGTGTTCAATGTTGGTTTCTGGAAAATGGCTAAGGTGTTGAAGGTTTTGGATGAAAATTATTACTTGACTAGGCTACTTGGATCTTCTGAGGAGTTTAGAGTGCACAAACATAGGATCCGGGTGCGCCAATTATGGAAAGATGACAAATGGGTTGTGATCGGAAGGGTAAACTTCTATCTGGTTCATATTGGTTTTCTGTATTTATCATTTTCTGTGCTAGTTGAATTTATTGATAACATTTTCATGCCTTAGATTTTTGTTTTGAAATTTCGTGTCTATTAAGGAACATTTGAGTGTCTGAATTTTCCTTTCTGTGGAACTTGTCTGTTTGCTTACTAATTTTCTTTTTGGTTCCTTTTGACAGGGTTCTGAAAATCGGATTAGCTCGCAAGTCCCACAATTGAATGCAAGAATAAAGCTCACAGCTGGGAATGATTGTTTACCTCCTCTGGACATCATCAGTTATCAGGATTCCCATACTGTCTCATCGAGATCATTGAAGAGAGGTTCTCCATATTGCTCGTTTTATATTGACGGATATTCACGAAAGAAGAGAGCAATTGAGAAGGGGTGTGAGCACCAACACGTTTTTTCTGGGTCCCCATCTTCCTTTCTCAAAAAGGTAGATGCTGTTGCTTACCCGCGAGAAAATCTGGGTGAAAAATACATGCAGGCTTCCTTTATTAATCGTACAACTGGATGTTTTGAAAAGGAGAGGGAAGAGTTAAATGGTGCTATTTCTTGTTCTGTTGAAAGAAGTTCAGAACTTGATGAATGTGATAGTGATGCATGCTCTGTGGGTAGTTGTAGTGTAATTAGTAGCAGTTCAAATAAGTTTTCCAGTCATAATTTAGCAGGTACTAGTCAAGATTCAGATACCCTTTCTAGTGATGCCGATTCTTTTTGTGGAGATGCGCAAGAAAATTTTTCCGTTCCTCTGGAAGAGGATGTACCAGCAGGAATCCATAGGTTAGAGTTGAATGCTTATCGCAGTACTCTGGTGGCAATGCATGCATCTGGGTCCTTAACTTGGGAACAAGAAGCGTTATTGACAAATCTCCGTATTTCACTGCACATTTCAAACGATGAACATTTGATTGAAGTAAGGAACTTAATTTCTGCAGGAACAAACCTTCATCTTAGATAACTTTTAATCTTTTGGATATTGAATACTTGGGTTTATTTCCTTTAGTACATTGTAAGAATCAGAGGATAAATAGTTACGATTTGTTGTGCGTATCTTGATTGTTCAATCTGTACTGATTAAACATGAGAAATTTGTACTAAAGAAGTTATGTACTTTATTTGATAGAGAATTGAATATTTCCAGGTTCACCATGTTGCTGTCTTTTCATCTGTTCTTAATAATGTCGCTTCACCAGTTTTTTCTCCATTGTAAGAAGCAGAGGATGTGTTGTTACATTTTTTGGGCTCATCTTAGTTGTCCATGTGCAGTGATCTAAGTATGAAAATTTTGTATTTAGAAATCTATGCACTTTACCTTATAAAGATGTGAATAGTTCCAGGTTCACCATGGTGCTGTCCTTTCAGCTGTTGTAATATATTTTACCATTTTTTTCCTTTTGGAAGGCTTGTTGTTTGTAGCTCTTTTTGGTTGGAAGAATTTTGATTTCTTTTCAGTATTAAGTGAGTATTAAACCAGAGAGAACTTGCACATATGCAGGATCTAGTCTCTTGGAGCCCAATTACACTTGTTTAGCTCTGTATCAGGCAATGACAGGATGAGCAATTGTTGCCATATGGTGTTGCTTAATTTTTAAGGATTTCTCTGTCTGAACTCTGGATTTTTGATAGGGTGAAATGAAAAACCAAGTTTCTGATCCGGGAATAAGGATCATCATAGTCTTACCACCCATGCATGTACTGCTAGCTAATCCATAATGATCCATTTTTATGTTCTTTCATTAATGATTGGTTGATTGAAATGGTATCAATGTGTATGTGGAAGATTTGTTGGTTTTTTACTGCATAACACATGGAATATGAATGTAGTTGTTGAGATGCCATTGTGCTTATGCCTTCTCACTACTATCTCTGTTTAATTCCATCCCACTCTTTTCCAATAAGCATATCTTTGGATTTACGTTAAAATAGTTTGGTTTCGTTGTTACCATGTGAATGCATACAGAGTACCATCTCATGAATCTTATTGATGAATCCCTGCACTTTCAGGGCCAAGGTTGGAGCCTTGCTTGCCTTGCCTTGCTTCCAAAGGCTTAGATGATGCTGAGGTTTGTCATCTTGGCGTATACAATGGAACTATTTATTTCGAATTTTCTTCGTAAATGACAATATGCCGCCAGAAAGTGGTACAATTATTTTCTCTGATTCTTTGATGTGATTCATTTTGGGTCTGCTGGGAACTGTGGACACATCTTCTACCAAAGCAGAACGTACGTGAACTTTGAAAAGGTTCCCAGTTTGCTTGATGCAGTTTTCCTAATTCTTTGCTGATGATATATCTCTTTATTGTTTATTAACTTTGCATTTTTTTACTTCTATAATATATTAAGTATTATATGCTTTAGATTATAACTTATGCAAATTAAGTACCATTTCCTTGTATTCTTTTAATTCAGAAAGCCCAGAAAATCGAAATTTCTGGTATCTTCTTTGATCTTATAGAAAGTTGTAGTGTTTATACGATCCGTACCATCTGTTTATTTAGACTCTTTATTCATGAGTACCTTGTGCGTTACTTGAATTTAAGTGGCTTTAAAGTTCATACAAACTATTTGGCATGCATTTGTTTCATTAAGCTACAGTTTGGACTTCAAAACTGGACCATTTATAGTTGTTTGTGTTTATATTTGATTTATGTACGCCAATGAAAGTTATCTGAAGTCATTAATATTTCTATTTTGATATGATGTGATATATTATTGAATTGGATGGTATAATGTTCTTATTATTTAAAACAATAATCTGGAAGACTTAATTTAAGTTTCTGATCTTTGAAATTATCACATTTGAAAGTGAAAACAATAAAAGTGGACCGTTGGCTACGAGAGGTAATTTGCACAACTAGAGAGAAGTCAAAGGAAATAAATAAACAAATCATTGTACAAACAAAGTAGAGAAATCTCTAAATGAAATACATTCAAAGTCTTACATTTGTAAGTAGAACCCTTTTTAACTGTTGATAACATGGAGATATGGTTGTGGAAGGTAACTTATCCAAATTACTTTGTGATCTCTAACACAGGACACATGTAAACTACTGTGACTGTGAACTTCACAATTGATTTAGGATTTGTGTGAGTGATTAAAGCAATTTGTAGTTATCTCATTATAAAAGTATCCTGGTGAATTGAATAGAACTAGTAGCACTATGTACTGTTCTAGGAATAAAGCATTTGTAGTTATCCAGTCTATTATCATCAATAACATGTGAAATTCCTTGACAATTTCCAAACAATTCTATGAACTGTTCTAGGAATAAAGCATTTGTAGTTATCTCATCAATGAATTGTTTGGAAATTGTCAAGGACTTTCACATGTTATTGATGATAATAGACTGGATAAGGCAACAGTGCTCTGTGGCAAAAGAGCAATTGACCAACACTGGTGTGGCTAAAGTGATTGCCGGCTTTGCAGCTCAGATGAAAGGATCAATTCAAATTGGCTAAGTATTTGCCCTACATAATATAATTTTTTGACAAGGTATGTACAACAATTCTTTGAATGTAATTCTCAATCCTCGGCAAAGTTAACAAAATAATGTTGTATAAAGCTCAATTTTTAGGGATTGGTTTGTACATAAACATGCTTTGTGTATCCCATTGGAATTTTGGCAGATGTTTACGGATTGAGTAATGACAGAGGAGGCTGACAAAAGTTTCACTTGGGATACTATTTAATGCAACAATCAACTGTGTAGATTCTTTTAAATGGACTAGATCTTCCTTTTAACATTTGAAATTTTGGATTCTTCAAGGAATTCTCAAGGAAGGCCAGTTTAACTTTATTTTGCAGTTATATCTATGAACACGGCATCTTCGAGACCAGTACCAGGTCTTCCTTTTGGAAATTGCTCTGGAATGGTTGTTAGAGTTGAGACTAGAAAAATGCTGTTGCAGATCTTCAGTCCTTTTCTGTCTCATTCTTTTTGTAATATTGAATTGTGAGATATATGGATCAATGTACAGTTGAGCAATATATATTTTTTATTTGGATAATGAGAGCTTCTGTAATGCAATTGTTTATTGGAAGTACGAGATCATTAATATTATCCATTTGTTTGAAATTAGCGTATACAAAAGGTTCAAATAGCGTACGGATATTTGCGTATTCTATGTTGACATAATTTCGACCGTGGATTCATTCCAATCTGTGGTCTGATTTATAACATGGTACTCATTAAATTTTGACATTTTTTAACGGTTGATTGAATAATTACTTTTCTTTTTTATTAAACCAAGACTTTGTATGGGCAAAGAGATAACAAACATGCATGGGTGAGTTTGAATTTCAATTGCCGAATAAAAAAGAAATAACAGACGGTGGTTTTATTCATGTCTTTGACCGAAAATATTATCAGTCATTTTCGAGTCATCTTTGACCCAACTGTCCATGTAACTAACCATCTTGGGGTTTTTCTTCTTATAAATGCTCAAAAGACAAAAAAACCCCACGGAATAGAATATTATTTAGTTAAACTACGACTAAAACGGCGGAGAGTTTGACTATGTTTTTTACTTTGTCTAAGTCTAGAAGAGGGGAGTGTCATCGAGTTTCGAACCTGAAATCACTAATCTGTAAGTAAATGTTGTTACCACTGAACTAAGTACCATTGGCAAACAAAATGTATGTTCTTATTGAAAACCTTGGAATCATGTGGTCTGCGAGTTTGTAATGACAATTGATGCTTCTTTCTTTCCTTTCTTTCATATCGATGAAATGTTAGTTTTTATTCGAATTAGTCTAGTGTAAGCCAGCACCATAGAGAATTAGAATTCAATATAACGGGTTAAAATGTAAATCCCACATAACACCTACTAACAAGAGATGTCTCTCAGCTTTTCACACGTACCCATGGCAACAACCAACCCTAATATCTAAGGAGAAAACCAGTGAGATTGTGAAGTCATAAATTTCTTGACAACCGAAACCCGAGTCACAGATCACATCAAACAGCCTAAACAAAATCCAGAAATATAATAACACACTACTCAAACAGATCATCATCGTCATCTGGAAGTGGTTGTGCAGCTGCCTGTGCCAATTCTTGTTCATGCCTGAAAAACACCATAACAGTCGATTGGTGATCAAGAACTCAGAATAATTAGCACAAACAAGAACACCAAATAGTGCTAACAATTGCTCGTTATCATTCCTTCTTAATATATAGGTTGAGCATGAGAAAAAAATTATCAAGAAATTATCAAAGTGGACCTATCACTTACTTTGCTTGGACAGCCATGTCAATCTGAACTTCTGGAGGAGCAAGAGCAGGTGATTCAACAAAACGCAGCTCAGTCTCTCTGCAGAGACCAATAGACCATTAAATTTCACAGCATGAGAGAATTTACAGAGCCAAGAGAACAATGATTTACTGAAATAAAGTGATCAAGAACTTACCCTGCAAGCTTTCTGGCAAGATACAAGAAAGGTTTCTCAAAGTTGTAGTTACTCTTGGCAGAAATCTCGTAGTACTGGAGATTTTTCTTCCTGTGAAAGGTAACCTGCTTTGCTTTCACCTGCCTATTTTTCACGTCCACCTTGTTTCCGCACAGAACAATGGGAATGTTCTCACACACCCTAGAAGACAATAGGAATGCCATGTTAGAAGAAATTCGAGTTAGGAAAACTGGAAAGGGGGAACCGCATTAGGAAATAGAAAAAAGGGTAGAAGACCAACATCACTGTCGATACAGAATATTAAAATATAGAAAAAAATTATATATCTCAAGTAACTCACCTGCAGAGATCACGGTGCCATGTGGGGACATTTTTGTATGTCAAACGAGCAGTAACATCAAACATGATGATTGCACACTGCCCATGAATACTGAAAATCAAGAAATGAAGCAGATCATGAAGTGTCAAACAGGGCAAGAACCGAGATGCAATGATACTGTCCATCAAACAATATCAGCACGAAGAATAGACCTGAGCCTGTTCAAACAGGGCGAAAACGGAGATGCAATGACGCAAGGGCATATCCACACACAAGAGAATGATACACAAACAAAGGATACAAAACCCTTAATTTTATAGTTTGTATAAAAAAGAACAAACAAAACATTCCTAGATAATAAGACTTGGCTTTGTATTCAAGATTCTTAGTAACTGGCTAACCCAGAACATGCTGTTTTAATTAAAAACAAGTTAGAGATAAGAAGAATAAACCCAAAATAAAATAAGAATAAAAAAACATGATGACTTAGGCATAATCAAATCAATCCCATCATGACATTCCAAATATAATAATCACAGGTACCAACAAAACACACAACACTACAAATGGCCACAATGTCACAAGGGCACAATAAATATAGATTACAGTAAAACATGAGTGGGGTTCAATTAAAATAGACGTTTGTGATAAAAGGACATACTAATAACCATCTCTGAGACCACCAAACTTCTCCTGACCAGCGGTGTCCCAACAGTAGAACCTGATCTTCCCACAGTTTGTGAAGAAGTCCAACGGATGAACTTCAACACCAATAGTTGCTGCAATTCCAAAAAAAATAAACAATCACGAAAATTAACATCGAAATTTCACACACACAGACGCACAGAGATATAAACAGAATTGAACTCCTTACGTTCGTATTTCTTCTCAAACTCTCCAGTGAGATGGCGTTTCACAAACGTGGTCTTGCCTACACCCAATCAAAACACTCTGTTACTATTTTGAAAAGACAAAAAAGAGACCGAATAAAATAAATAGACCAAATACGCTTCAAGAGCAACAATATGTTAGGGTTTCAATAAAATCTTGGATCCGAATGAACAAAACAGCAAAGAAGAAAGTCCTGAATTCCCAGTTTGGGCGCTAAAGACAGAGAGAAGCGAAAAGACGAACCAGTTCCACCGTCGCCGACGATAACAAGCTTGAAGCTAGGGTAATCGACAGTTTGCTGATTCGGAAGAGCCTGTATCAAATACAACAATGAGCGTTTACGATCAGAATAAAACCCTAGCTGCCTGCCTAGAACATATACACATATACATGTAGCGTGAGAGAGAGAGAGAGTAGAGAGGCTACCATAGCGAGAGCGAAGAGAGCTGCAAATGTGAATGGATTTGAGGCTCGGAGGAAAGCGATCAACGTGTTTGTGGAATTCTGAGGAAGCACACTAGTAAATGAAGAAGGTGAGGGACTTAGGGGTTTTATACTACAGTGTAACCGACCCCTTCCTTAAAACGGGGTTCGACTTTTTTTGGACGCTATTTTTTACACCGTTGGATCACAGTCCCGCTTGAATTTTCCGCTTGAATTTTATCCCTACACGTGGCACCTAGTACGGCCATTGTCGTATACGCTATGTTCGCCATCCGCTGGATTTGCGATTATCGCCCAGAGGTCTTAAAAAAAGCCCAACAAAACCTGGCTAAACAGTCTCGATCACAAAATCTGTAGCCCAACACAAATCCAATATTTCGAAGATATACAAATTTTTTTTTTTCTTTCTACAATGGAACATTTTAAACTACCTTAATATATGGGAGGAGATTCGAACTCGAGTGCAAGAGGTGAACACATTACGTTAACCAACTCTATTAACTGGCTTAATAGAGGGAAGGTGGTTCAGACTCGGGTGGACACATACCTTAATCAACTTTTCTAACCCACATTTACGTGTCCTTGTTTATATTCACCTTATTAAATGGCGTAATAAATATAATGCTCCCGACCAACTGGGTGTTAGTTATATTGGCCCAAATCAAACATTTGTTTATATTCACCTTATTAAATGGCGTAATAAATATAATGCTCCCGACCAACTGGGTGTTAGTTATATTGGCCCAAATCAAACCTTTGGGCCCTGTTTGGTGGGCCGGATTGGACAAGACTGGATTGGGCTTGGAGTGTTGGACTGGGCTGGTTAGGACTGGACCAGACTTTGAGTCTATTGTTTGGTGCTTTACTTAACTTTGGACTGGACTGGACTTAAGTCCAGTGCACTGTTTGGTACAAGACAAGCCTGGAATGAACTGGACCTCCAACAAAAATTAATTTTTTTAGTGCATATTAAATTATCTAATATAAAAAAATTAATTTCGTCCAAAAAAAAAAAATTAAAAAATGTACATAATTAAAATTCAGAAAGCCCCATCACATGCTAATTCTAAAATAGCTAAAAACATATCCAAATTTAACAAAGAAATTAAAATACCTATTTGGCTTTTGCCCATAAATATAACAAAATAACAACTCAAAACTACGTTTCAACAACGAGATCTATAATCTCTAAGAAGTGTCGTCACATACTCGTACCTATCATCACCCTCATCTAATGTCTTGAACACACGCACTTTTGCCGAATCAGTAAATAAAGTCAGCAAAGAGATTCTATCTGAAATAGAAAATTCCATCTTTTTTAACTCATCTCCAACAAATTTAAGATCATCATCTGCATTCTGCTCCTTTAAGCTCTCAACCAACCTTTGCACTTTGGCATCAGAGTTCTCCATCATACTCTCAAATGCATTGGCAATTCTTCCCAAACCATCAACCATTTTATTTCCTTGTCTTACCCTTTTGTTTCTTGATGATGATGATTTGGATTGAGCTTGAGTTTGATCAGTATGATGGCTCCCATCCAACTGTACATCAGGAATGTTACTCTCAGATGCTTCATCATCATCATCTAGAACCATCTCAGCTGGAGCTAAAGCAAAAACCCTAATTTCAGAAAATTAGAGTACTTGGAAACCCGAAAATCAGAAATGCAATGAAACTAGTTAACTTACTGATGAGTGGCCGATACGTATACGGATACTATACGGCTCGATACGTGCCAATCAGTGGCGGAGCCACAGTGGGGTCAGTGGGGTCGCACGACCTCTTGGAAGCTATGGAAATAAGCTTAGAGGTCCCTTGGAGCTGCACACCAAGTGCTCGACTAAATGACTGAAGAAGAAAGAAGGGTGCTGTGCGACCTGAAAAAGAAGGCTGTGCGTGCAGGTCCTTTTTATTTATTTAAATGACCTAGCGACCTGAAGAAGAAGGCTGTGCACGCGGGTCCTTTTTATTTATTTAAATGACCTGGACCTCGTTTTGGGCCAGGTCTGAATTTTTTTTTTTCAAATTGAAAATGCCCAGCGTATCCTTCATTTCCAGCACCGATAAACTAACACACTCAAACATAAACATTGTTTCTCTAATTCTAACAGATGCAATTCTAATAGTGCTCAACACCCTGCAATTCAACCACCAGATTTGAACCATTCATCATCTGCAAAAAGGCAGTAATCATCTATTTCCACCTCTCCCAGGTGACCAATAACAGATAAGAAGAACCCATTTACTTTACTACTCTATCCAATGAAACCAAATATATTACTGTGTTTCCAATCCTTCAAAATTCAGCAGTTGGTTATCTCAATAATTTACCAAACAAAATGAAAGGTGGGTTTTCGATTTCTGAAAGGCAAATAAAAAGTGATATTCAATGGATTCAATTTGATTCTCATTTCCACTTGTTTCTTCAGCAACCAAACAGATATGAGACTATCTGAACAAACCCAAATCAAAGACCCTAGAAAGCCCCAAATCAATGACCCTAGAAAATCCCAAATCAAAACCTAAAAAGATAATGCAGAATATTAGCATAATGAACAAAAAAATACTCACTTGGGTTTGAATTTTGAAGGCGAAACTTCTGCACAATCTCGGTTTTCTGAAGATTGAATGACAAAAACTCGTTTTTGTCAGCCACCAACCATCAGACGAATAGAACAGATGCAAAGAAGAATGACGTAGAGAGATGAAATCACTAGGAGGAGGCGGAGGTGACGAAGAGAAACGACGTATAGAGAGACGAAGAGATGAGACGTGAAGAGGAGGCAGAGGCGACGAAGAGCAAAGACGCAGAGCAGAGGCGATGAGATGTGAAGGAGGAGGCGGAGGCTTCGAAACCCATGGTTCAGCTTGGGTTTACAAAACCCTCATACGATGGATTCTTATCCGGAGCAAAAAAATAAGTCACAACCAGTCCAATGTGCTATTTAGATTCACCAAACAACGGTTAGGACTATAATTCATTTTAATTGGAAAAATCCAGTCCAGTCCAGCCCACCAAACAGGGCCTTGGTGTGCTATCAAGTGGTCTTGAGTTCAAATGCTCATGGTTCTCATGTGTAAATTTTCTCCCCTCCCCCTTCCTAATTTTGACACACACAAACTTTAACACACAAAAATACGATACTTCCCCATCATTTTCTTATTGACAATTCGATTATTTAAATTACTATAAATCAAATAGTAGGTATATCCAACTCTAAATCATGACAATTCAAAATTTGGGATGTGTTTTGGGAGTGTCCTAAATTTGAAAGGATTAAAATGAGATGCGCCATGTTTATACCAACTTTATCTTTCTCCTCCATTTAGGCCTAGTTTGGGATTGCTGTCACTTTTAAAAAAAGTTGCTTCTGCTGTGCTTTGAAAATAATTAGCTGTAAAGTAAAGCAGCTCCATGTTTGGTAAACAATATTTTTAAAGTGCTGTTAGTACAAAAAGCAGTGTAAAAGCGTTTGGTAAATTTTAATATAAAATTGTTGTAACTGTGAATAATGACTAAAATAGACATGATGTTAAAAGTGTTATGTATTAATCATGTGGTGGTAGTTGTAGTGATGGAGTGGAGGTGGTGGTGGTAATGAAGGTGGAGTTGGTGGTGGAGGGGATGGTGGTTGTGGAGGAGGAGGAGGTGGTGGTGGAGGTGATGGATGAGGTGGTGGTGGCGGAGGATGAGGAGGAGGATGTGGTGGTGGTG